GCACTATATACACCAGAATCTCGACACATGCAAGGAAATAACCGCCCAGAAGCAAAGCAGCTTTATGTACAATAGAGTCTCAACACATGCAAAGAGAAGCAAGGAGCAAGCAAGCTGACGAGCAGGCAAGTCAGCAAGCAAGCATTACATACAACAGATTCTTAACACATGAAATGAAAAACGAACGCCCAATGCCAATTGCCAAAGACAAAGGAAAGACAAAGGAAACCCCCCAAACCACCGCCCCCCGGATCCCCCGACGAACAACCCCCGCGAACCGTTTCCGACCCAAATTCCATCGACCGCCTCTGTCGCGCCCCCGGGATACCGTGGCCCTACCGACACCCCTTGCCCGCCGGCTAGCTGCTGACATACTGACCGTGTATGTCGTCGCTCGGGCATCCTTTGAACCGCCGGCCAGATCGATACCCGGTAAGCGTGGATGACAACTTCACCAAGCTTTGCTGCCCACACAAAGCCCAGATCCGCCGCCAACCTTGAACGCTATCAGGTCGATTGCCTCTGTCATTCTCGGAGATGCCTCTGCTCAGACACCCGGGGTACCGGAAACTAGTGTCGCAGCGGGGTCGGAAATGCCGGCGGCTCGTAAGCACCCGAGGGTTAGCCGGTACGAATCGATGTTGGTGAATCTGTCGCCGGCTCGATCATTCGTGGATGGCGTTCAATGTCGTCTCTCGCTCGGACCTGTGACCTGGCCATTAGCAGTAAAGGGCCCCGACCTGGCTCCAGCACAGCCAAGTCGGGGGCAATGGATAGATATACAAGAATAAAATATACAGGAAAACGAAAGTGTTCAAGGAAAAGCCTGCAACAAGGAGAAAAGAAAGGGGAAAAAGACTAGTACCAACAGCAACGGTGGATATCGCGCGCTTTGATAATCCACCGACTAACGGTAATGACTGTGGTGACCTCGCTAAACTGGACACTCTTCACCGACTTACCCTTGCGAGCCGCGGACTTCGCAGCCGAAGCTGCTCCATCCTCGGTGGACGCAAGGGCTGCATCGGATCGAGCCCTGGCCTCGCGGGATCGGTAATACGCCTCCCGCAACGCCTGAAGGCGAGACGGACGACTATTACCAGAAGGAGTGGACGTGGTCCGAGGAGCCACAGAAGGAGAGGACGTGGTCCGAGGAGCCACAGAAGAACGAGTGGACGTGGCCTTGGGAGCCACAGAAGAACGAGAGGCAGGGACGGGGATGGAAGAACGAGAGGACGTGGTCCGAGGAGCCACAGGAGAAGGAATGGACGTGGTCCGAAGATCCACGGGGGAACGAGTGGATGGGTGTTTCTCGTCGAACCTTTTCAGGAACGACGCACCCGCGGAAAGGGAAGAGGAAGAGGGAGAGGACGTGGCCTTGGGAGCCACAGGAGAACGAGAGGACGTGGTCCGAGGAGCCACAGAAGGAGAAGAACGAGGGGAAGTGGCGCTATGGCCGTTGGCACTAGTCTTTTGGGGGGCGGAAGGAGAGGACGTGGTCCGAGGAGCCACAGGGGAACGAGCGACAGGGACGGGGATAGAACGAGTGGAAGTTGGGTGTTTCTCGTCGAACCTTTTCAGGAACGACGCACCCGCGGAAAGGGGACGGGGAGAGGGAACGGACGTGGCCTTAGCCACAGGGGAACGAGGGGCAGGGGTGGGAATGGAGGAACGAGAGACGAGGGTGGGAATAGAAGAATGAGAGGACGTGGTCCGAGGAGCCACAGGGAAGGGAGTGGACAAGTACTTGCTTGTACGCAAGTACTTGGGGGCAGTGGGGGCAGGCACCCCAGAACGAGAGGACGTGCTCACCATGGTGGGCACAGACGGAGCGGAACGAACAGAAGGACGTGCTGGATCCTTCTGACCGCTGGGGGGGACAGAGGAGGAAGAGGAGGGGGAGGACTGAGGAACACGCAGACGGGCCATCTGGTGTCCTCGACGAGAAGACGAAGACGATTGCATGCTGGGAGGGGGGAGGAGAGACAAGCAAGGCGGATAAAACAACAGAGAAACGGTGCACAAAAGGCTGGACCAAGTCTGGTATGGGGAGGAGAAAAGGAAGAAGAGAGGATATCAAGGGGACGAGAAGAAGATATAGTAGACTGAGAAGATTGTAGAGGAAAGAGCACCGAAGGGAAGGAAGCAGGAACATCATGAAGCTGAAGGAGGAGTGTCTGTAGCTCTTTCCTCGAATACCTTGAATTGTGATGACGGAGCCGTTAGGTTGGTGGTGTAATAATCTAGATTGTCTAGTAAATCCGGTATATATTCATCTATACGACCTTTCAATATGAAACAGATGTCTCCAAGTGCATCATTTCTCCAAGGGAAATCCATATCCAACCAAGAAAGCAGGTTCGTCAATGCTGTGGTGCTGGTAGCTACAGACACCATTAGCGATCCATTCATGTAAAACAGGCAAGAACATACCTAAGAACTCCCACAGCACCAGGTTCCAGCATCATGGACAACGGAAACTCCATCGGATAGCCCAACCAGCGCTTGGTAAACGCCCGGAGCGTATGGCCATGCGCAATGAGAACAACATCGGCGGGCGCCTCTCCGTGCATGTTTCCCCGATGAAGAGCTCTGATCTCTTCGATCAGGCTATCAATCCGGGCTGTAACATCCGCAGGTGATCTAAGCTGTTAGCCTCTCCAACAGAAAAGAACCGGATCTAACATGGTTATAGGAATGACTTACTCTCCCTCCTCACATCCATCCCTCCAGATATCCCACGCCCTATCACCATCGAGGCCATGCTCCTTCCTCAGCGCGCGAATCTCCTTGGTCAACATCCCCTCATACAAGCCATAACCCCACTCGGCCAGCCTTTCCGTCTCCTCCACCTTGCCAGCTTCCTTCAGACCCTGCTTCTCGGTCTCCCCGAAGGCCAAGTCAAAGGTGTGCTTTGCCCTTTGGCGCGGAGACACATACACACGAGCCAGTTTAGCTGTGTCAATAAGCTTACCAGCTCCTACGAGGATCTTGCCGGAAGCGGTCACTTGCTTCACTCCGTCGTCAGTTAGCTGAATTTCGCTGATGCCGGTGTAGCGGCCGCTTTTGGACCATTCGGTCTCTCCTGTGGGATTCTTAGTGGGGACTCATAATTTTGATAGATAGTGGATAGAGGGGTACCATGGCGGTAGAGGAAAACACGGGGCGTTCCGGCGTCTTTGTCGGGCATGGTGTTGGTGATGACGTAGCTGACGGACTGGGATTGTTCTAAGGGGAGATGGACTATGACCAGGGTAGTAGTAGTGGTGGTATCTGGTCTGGGGGAATGGCCAGATTGAGCGAGGGGAACGCGGGGAGAAAGAGAATTTTATTTAGGTAATGTTCTTGATGTGGGTTCGCGGTTCACCGGAGCTAAGATTGGGTTTGGGGTCAGATTTCCCTTCGTAGGGTTTACTGCACGATCACGCGGGATGTTCAGCCATTGCACATGAATAGAATACCGGTGAAGGTTCTGTCTTCAGACAGTCTATTGGTTTGTCTATGAGAGTTTCCCGAGCTTATTAGCATTTGAATGCCATTTGATTCTAGTAATTTATTCTCCAAGACAAGTGGGGTGGCGGGGGCAAAAACCAAATTGATAACATTCAGACATTCGCGATAAGAGCCTTATCGTTTGTTTGATATCATATCGGCATTCGGCAGATGCGGGCTGGAAGGCACGTGCTCAGAGGAGCCGCCGTTACTGGCCTGAGGTCTTAAGGCAGCAGATATTGGTGCCTGATGCTTTCATACTACTCATGCCAATTTCACAAGAAATTGGATACACGACACCTATTGCTTCTTATTCTGATGCTTACCTTTGGGTTATGTATGCTAGTATAATTTGTGCTCACACGATATACTATGATTTATGTTTACTCGTCCATTTCCAACTGGTACGTATCTTCTCATTCAGAGGCGATACTGCTAGCTGTGGACCATGGCATACCGACAATTAGTGCCAGTCAGTTATCAAGCATCTGTCCGATGTAGCAGACCGTATACTTGAGTGCCATGACATTAAGAACGTAGCATATGACCCCCAGCATAGAACTCTTTATAATTAGAGGCTCACACATACAGTCAGCACTATGACTCTGTGGCTGTGCATGGCACATGCACTGCGCCCCGAATCCTTCCTTCCCACTCACCTAGTTACACAGAAGGCTGACCCAGGCAGCACCATTCCCCAGGATTGTAGATAATACTCCCATAACATTTCATCAAGTTGATCAACAACTCAGAGAAAAAAGAACAAGCAAACCCTTCTTACTTTACCACGAAACACAAATCGACTCAAAATGGGCCTTCCACCACCAACCGAACCAACGCCTCCGTATGAGGAAACGGAGTCCACTAGCCGCCACAATCACACCGTAAACTTTCCTAATGCCTTTTTGATGACCGGTACTCAGTGATAAAGTATAGTATACTAATATGTCACGAACACACAGTACTCCACTCTCACTCAAGCCATCGATGACCCCGAAATCCAACTCCCACCGTTCCATGAGCATGATCATGGCGACGGGCCTACCACGTCCTTGATTCCGGGCGCTACCCCTCAAGAGCACTCACATTGCGAAGTGTGTGAGCGGATTATCAATCGGCGAGAAAGACGACAAGCTCATGCAGACTGCTGTCGGATAGTAGCCATGGTATTTGTGGTCATGTTTGTGTGTATGATGATACTGGGGATAGTCATAGCCAAGGCGGCATCGAGACGGAAATGATGGGTACTCTTTCTTCATTTCAGAGAAGTATATAAGCGTATATACTGGAGGAATGACCCTTGGGTTGTTATTGTACAATCAGGACGGAGTGGGATTTAGTAGAGAGGAGCTTCGTTGGTTTGTGAACTTCCATTTTATACGCTGCCTGTTTCAGTGCCGGTAAAGAGTAGATGTAAGAGATATGCATTAATGCTGGAGTAGTTCTCATCAGTATGCTGGTGGAAGTTTGTCTAGGAATATCTTGAAGAATGAAGCAGAGTTTTGTCTTCATACTAGAAGAGTCTCTCCGATCTGCGTTGTTTTCTGCACGCCATCGCTATCGGCCTACCTCTGCCCACACCAATATCAGAATGCTCCCCAGATTGCTGGACAGGTAACCTATACCCATGCATCCTATCCTTCATTTATGTGAAGGTTTTAGTAATCTTCTGTTACTAAGTGATCGAGACTACCATCAGCGGCGAGTTCCTTCCTCCGTCGCCCACGTGGCTCAAACAGGAACATATCTTACTCAATATGCTCATACCCAGGTCTATATTCGACTGCAGGGCGTTTCAGGAGTCGCTTGGATTAGCTTATACCAGATGGGAGGGAGACGTTATTCGCTTTCGTCTGAGGGCTACCCGCTGGTTAGATAGTGGCATGCTTCTGCCATGTCTTGCTATCCTCGACTGCCCCTGAACAATCTTGAGAATCAGCCTCGCTAATTATTTAGTGATTCTAGAGCCCCCTATCGGTTTCCACAAATATTTTCGACCACTCGTCTATCTTTATCACCTACTCATCAACTTCAGCGTCCAACGCAAACGCCGGGCTATTCCTCGTCGTATTTCTCGCGGTCAGCACATTTGTGACTATGGTTCGACGATATCCCCAAACGAAATTGCTACGCTACGCAAGACGATATGAAGGAAACTTAGTGAGCGCTCAAATTGGAACATCTACTCTGATGAAGGTGTTACCTGAAATATTACAAGCGAGATTTGCGTGGTGCTTGGCTTTGGAGAATTCAATTGAATACCAACCACTTGTTGCAGCCTCCGTTCGAAAAGTGGGGAAAAGCCTGGCCCCAATGGCATGTAGTCGACTTCGCAACGGTCAATAGTAAAGGGGAATAGGCCAGCAACCTCCCAAGTGTGTTGACGCATCTCCCGGGACCCCTGGGCCGACAGAGGAACAACTCGATGTGCACTACAAACGCAGTCGGCCCTGCGACCTGGCCAGAGTTCTTGGGGATGTTATGGAGTCCAACTACTCCTTCTATACTCCCTGGACGCAGACTTACCACGGACTGAAGAATATCAGAATTGACCCTGCCACACGAGCGGAGATACTGGTAGCTGAATTCTTCGTCAACGCGGTCAAGAACGCCCGAATGGAGTACAAGGTGCCCATTGTTATTGGCTGGCCGCAGATGCCCTACTTGATGGTACCGTGGTCATATACATGCCCGACTTCCAGGCTTCCAATTTGATATACTCTTAACTTCGAAGAATGCATCAATGTAGTCGCGCATCAGCAAAGAACCTGTAGTCGTGCGAGCCTTGCTCCAAAGTGGTGAAACTAACGAACTGGACCAAAGCTATGCGCAAATAATCGGATCTGATTAGCTAACGCCGAATAAACCTGATTATCTACTTCCAGTCAACTTTTCATTCGGTCTGGAAGTGACCAAAGACCTTCCCTCTTGGTCGCAGCAGTCGGACCAACATAAGCAGATGAGTACCCTCCATTGGACCTCCTCCACCAGAAGTTCCCTGACCGCCACCTGAAGACCATTTTTATCGCCTTGGGGACGCATACTATTCTTGTTCATGCAGATGCTCGGAAGATTATTAAAGGTCTCGTCCACGCCATGAAAGAAGGCGTTGTCGACGGCCTAATTTGGTCAGTGGGTAAGAGCGGACGGAAGTTGTTCGACGCAGCAAAACCTTGCACTATCCAAGAAAAAACAATCAACATTGGGAAAATTCTTGACGGAGGACACGCCAATTGGATATTTCTTCCTTTGAACCGCAACGGTCGATCCTGGATCATTCCCATACCCGCATCTATTTCACCCACGGAGGTGGGGTTAGCACCAACGAAGACCTCTGTCAAGGCAAACCGATGCTAGAAATTCCATCCTACTTCGACCACCTCGGCAATGCGGCAAAGCTGGCCGGCGGTGGAACGTCGGAGGTCCTCCACATGTTTCGTTTCACGGCTGATGAGCTCTACTCCAAGGAAAAATAGTTATAGAGGATCGTGACGATGCGCACAATGTGCAGCGACTCTAGCGTATTACCCGTGTGGAATCAGACACATGATTTTGGGCGCTGATCTGATTGAAAGAAGAAGTTCTTTATGATACTGAAGTGAGGGTTGTTTATGGAAGGGAGATCTGTCCAATGTATCTGCAGAAAGAGTATATGCCGATGCTGGCTTGCAAGGAACTCGTACTTGATCGCCGGTTCACGGTGGTGATGGAGCTTCTTGGTGGGGGGTTCGCTTGGATCGCTCGCAGGGCTATTGGTGGGTTACTTGATGGTTTAGTTTGTTTTCTAGTTAGCTTTCTTCATCACAATGCTGGAAGAAGAAAAAATATAAAAATTCAAATCTAGTGAATATCCGCAAACTGAGTGTTTCGCTCCTTTTAGAGATGGTACGTGATGGATTAGCATGAACGCTCCTTCCATGGCTTACTAGTAGTACACCCGTGACACATTTTCCATTTTTTCGTAGTCAAAGCTCCACACAGGTTGCATAGCATTGCTATCAGCAAGAATTGCGGCATCAAGTACGGTATAATCTTTAACATCCTCATGCCGAGGCGTGGAGTAAGTTCTCAATGTGCAGTCATGCTTTATATTCTGCTGAGACCTTCATTCCAGCTGTCCCTCGCCGCCTCTTCCAAACCTCAACATACAATCATCCCCTTAAGATCAGATAGATCTCCGTCGCCTGGCTGACTAGTGCGATACATCGTTTTTGGTCTAGCGGTTAGTGCTTCGACAAATACACATACGGTTCTCTCTAAGTACGACATGTTTGCCCAATTATTTGATGATTTTTGGTATATTCTCGGGTGACTCGAGATACCGGTGGTGCAGGTGATTGAATGAAGTGTTCTTACGTCTTTGCGCAGAAGATACCATGTCGAGCATATACATTCAGCGCAAAGAACACATACACAAGCTGATTACCCAGGACCTGACAGGCTCTATTTATACCAGCTAGAAACTATATGCGTCTCCTCATAATATCTCCGAATCATCTCAGAACCCCCAGAGCCCCGGGAACCTCGTCCGCGATTAAATTCGGCTCTGTCGGCTGAATATCATGCCCACTGCTCCTCGTCACCGAATAAAGAATAACGAGACAGGGATGGGAAGAAGGAATCAAAGGACATGATAAAATCCTTCTGACCGCTGGGAGGAGGAGCAAGGTTGGGGAAGAGTTGCAGACTCTCCTTAAACTTCATAATATTCCTCCTTCTTTCTCTACACTCCGCTCTTTTGTGCAATCTCCCCAGACTTCTCAGGGCTATCTCTTTTTCTTGCTCTCTCAAGTGCTCTTTTCGCTTTCTCCTCATACTACTTGTGGTTCATGCCACGTTGATGCTCTTACACACATTTATCGCTATCACCTTGCCTTGGTTCTTTACCTCTTTGCCTCCTTCTCGTGGAGGACCCCATATGACCCGTTTGCGCGTTCCTCAGTCTGTGGTTCTGCGCTGTCGGTTTGCTGCTGCCCCTGCCTTTTCACATCTATCACTTTGTCTCTTTGCTTATATTGCCTTAATTCTCTGTCTTGTTGCCCCCTCCCCCACATCCTTTTCCTCTGTTCGTGGAGGACATCAGATGGCCCGTCAGTGTATACCTCAGCCTTCTCTCTGAGAATTCCTCATCTTCTTCTTTTCCCCCTCCTCATAACACTACCGATTCTGTCCATCCCACTTATACCATCATCTTATCGTCTTGATTTACCTGTCCTGCTGTTCTCTCTGCCTCCCTCCCGCCGATATGGATCCTTGTTCCTCTGCTCGTCGAGGACACCAGATGGCCCGTCTGCGCTCCAGCCTTCCCTCTGAGAACTCCTCTCTTCTTCCTCCCTTCCCCCAATACCATGAATTCGTCTTCCTCTGTTCGTCGAGGACACCAGATGGCCCCTCTGCAGACTGAGGAACGCGCTGTTTTGCTGTCCCGCGTTTGTTCTTATGATGTATATGCCCCGCTTGCCTCCCTATCCCCAGCATGCCTCTTCTTCTGTTCGCCAAGGACACCAGTTGGCCCGTCTGCGAGTATCCCAGCTTCCTTTCTAGAAGTCATCTCTTTCTTTCTCCTCATACCACTCTTTGGCTCAGCGTTGCTCGTTTGTGTCATCCTACCTCCACCACAGCATCACCATAAGCTTTACTTTGTCCCTTGTTTTACCTGCCTTGCTTTTCTCTTTCCCCTCCTTCCTCCCGAACATGGAATCTTCTTCTATTCATCATGGACACCAGATGGCCCGTCTGTGCTCCAGCCTTCCCTCTGAGATCCTCTCTTCTTCTTTTTCTCCTCCTCATACCACTTTTTCGTTCAGCGTTGCTTGTTTGTGTTCTCTCCCCTCCACCACAAGCTTTACTTTGTCCGTTGTTTTATCTGTCTTGTTTCTCTCTTCTCTTCCCCCCTCCCGCCATGAGTTCTTCTTCTTCCTCTGCACGTCGAGGACACCAGATGGCCCGTCTGCGTGTACCTCAGTCCCCCCTTCTTTTTTCTTCCTCATCGGTCAACACACTTGGCCTCCCATGCTTTGTCACGTGACACGAACCGCTTCGAGAACCGGATATCTATTCCAAAGATGGAACCTGCCAACGAAGTTAGTAGAAACGAGCTGAAGGGCTCCCGGGAAGGTTTGAGATAGATTAAGAAGTTGACAACAGGAGCTGGAAGAGGTGAAAGAGACTTACCGGATGTATGATCGGCCACCGTGATAATAAAGTGGCCTTATTCCGTTGTTGTAGATAGCTTTTCTTTCTTCAGTTTTTCGAAAGTCCTTTACTGAATGTACAAACCCTCGACAGCTTATGTCAAAAGTAATTTCCAATTTCTCACTTCAGGCCAACAGTATCCATGTAGACTAACCTGTCAGTGGCTCACTTGATCAGATCGTTGAAGAGATTTATGTCAAGACGAAGGGTCAAAGATATATGGATTTGATCTATCAAGATCTCAAGGGGCTGGGTGGTTGATTGGTTGAGGTGGTGGTCGGAGGCCACGCAGGAAGAAGAGGCGAAGGATCAGCTGACAGCTGCCTGGCTGCAGTGAATGCCTCAACAATTTATCGTACCTGATCCAACATGAATTGCTGCAGATTGGACGCTTCACTCCTCCAGGAATTCTCGAGCAACGGATCAGCATGAGTGCACTCTTCTGCCAGATTGGCTGCTTCTATAAATGTCTAGTTCATTGTGACGAAATTTCGCAAAGCCTGCAGTCGAAGCTCCATGTAAGTTGCTTGAGCCTGTCATCGGCAGCAACATGGTATCTCATAGTATCATCGTCACCACCGTTGGCTTATACTGACGCGCGTCATTGCCAGTTCCCATGGGATTGATCGTGAACTTTCCATATTCTTTGCGTCAAAGACACTATACCGAGTACTTGCGCTCAGAGAAGACAACCGCTATATCCTATATCTTTCTACCAGCTGGGTCCCCCCAAGTGGAAACAAAATGCCTACCACATCATTCACGAATCATCTTCAACACCCAACGAACCTCATCGGCAATCAATTCCGGCTCTGTCAGCTGGATATTATGCCCACTCCGCTTCGTCACCGAATACCGCGCAATGCTCGACAAATTCAACAACTCTCGATGAAATTCCTCCTCACACCTCTCCCACCTCGCCAGACACTCCCTGAACCTCTCCCGCTGCGCATCCGTACCTCCCCCCTTGGCCACACCAGCCTCATACAACAGCTCATGATCCCTCTTTGAATTTCCTCCCAGCACACTCAACGGCTTTCCCCTCATAACATCTTTCCCAGGCACAAGTTGCCCCTTCTCTGCCAGTACACCTCGACTGACTTGTAAAAAGGGCATTTCTAGTGTCGCCTGTTTCGCATGCTTTTCACTATTTTCCTCCGCCATCAAATCGTCCCATTCTTCATCTGTCAACACACGATCGCGCACCAACCCAACAACATCCATGTAATCCAACCCATCGGTAACAGCAGCAATGCTCGGATCCGGCCACGTTTCCATTATCATACGCTCCTGAACTGGATCTACGAGCACCATGCCGCAGATATCGTCTGGTCGGGCGGCGAGGAATTCCCGCGCCAGGATACCACCCCAGGAGTGTCCGATGACGAGGTATGGCGGGGCTAAAACTGCGGCGTCAAGTAGTTGGCAGAGCTCGTTAATGATGGTAAGAGAGTCGGGTGGGTTTGGGGATGGCTCGCTGCGGCCGTATCCGGATCGCTCGTAGAGGAGGATGGATGCGTCGGTGGAGAGGTGACGGCATACGGCGCTCCATTCTAAAGCGCTGCTGGTAATTCCGGTTAAAATTATTACGAGGGGAGTGTTGGGTTGGCGGGGTGGGCCGCGGAGGGCGTAGCTGAGGGTGTGGGTGCCGATGTTGGCTGTTTGGTTGAAGTAGTCCATGGTGTGGTGACAGGCAAAGAAAATTAGAGATGATGTTTTGGGAGGGATGATGAGAGTCGAAAGAGATGATGGGGAATGGGGTTCAGCGCTAGAGTATAGTTATATAGTTAGGTAGTGCTTACCTAGTGAGTCATTCAATTGAAGGGCTAGTGATTGACTAGCCGAGTTGATGGCCCGATAGGCCCCCTTGAGCTTGTAGGATGATGCTTCAAAGATACTATAATTTCCGTATCGATATGTAGCCTGAGATTCATCGTCTCTCAAAAATGTGTTCATTTTTAGACTGCCTGTATCTATTACGTCTTGTGACAGAGGTATTGGCAGATACAATTCCATAACGAGCCTGAGATAACAGGACAAGATCAACTCCTCACGAGCTAAAGAACCCTCTACATTGTGGACTCCTATAAGCTACCTCGCTTCAGAGAGGGAGGTCATCAACAACATCACGAGTAACGTATTGATTATTATAGCCATAAAAGATAGATAAAATCGGCAAAGTCAATCTGACACAACCAGATATTGAGCCTAGATGCAGAATATCTTATCGAGAACACGAACCGAAGTTTATGAAAGCGGCTTCTGACCCACAACCGTCATAATCCGGTTTTGATGAAAGACAACGCCCTCCTCAGTCTCCTTAACCGCAGCAGAAAACATATTAAGCCAAGCCTCACGGGACAGAGGTGCAGTTGGAGCATCAGCCTTGGGTGGAAACAAAGGAGTCAGGTCCTCCAAAATCAAGAGGTACACATCAGTCCAAGCCTTATAGTCAATCTTGCGTTTATCTTGTTTGAGAAGGCGTACATTCTGGAACCCGAATTCCGTTAGGGGGGTATCGAGCTCGTCTATCCAGGCGTAGCTGATGCCCTTGGCTTTAAGACCGCCCTTAAGCACCTGCATGACGCCTTCGCAAGCTGCAGTCGGGATCTTGGAATTTGGTGCCTCGACGAGGAATATGTCGCCGCGATTTTCTTCCCACTGCAAGTAGCCACCGGGCTTCAAGAGTGACGAGGCCACGGATATGGTGGGAATGAGAAGATCGGTGCCTGAGACAGTGCTACCAAAGGAGCGGATGTGCACTACATCGTAGGTGCCGAGAAGGTGAGCGGGGAGGGGATTGGCGAGGATGTCTAGCTGCTGCAGCGAGACCGAGGGGGGCAGGTAGGCGGGCGCCGGGAAGTGGATTGGATTGATGTCGAAGCCGTCAAGCTGGGCAGTGATGTTTTTCTTTGATAACTCGCCGTGCAGCTGTGTAAGCCAGATGCCGTTGCCGCAGCCAAGGTCAGCAATTTTCAGAGGCTGCTGGGCGGCGGTTACGGCCTTCTCGATGGCGGGCTCTAGGAGGTAGCCAAGGGTGTTCTGGTAGAGGAAGTGCTGAAGGTGCAAGCGGGCAGAGGATCGGAAGTTCCGGTCTGGAGAAGTCCAGTATGTGTACTGGTTGTAGTTTTCGATATGGGAAGTGACGGTCATTTTGGCCAAGTGCAAGGAGGAGAGTTTTTTGGGATGGAAAGAAGAACGTGTTCAGTATGGCGCATGCTCATCCTTAAATATTTCTGTGTTGATACCCTAACACACTTCCAAGCTCATGAGGAGACGCATCATTTGCCCTTTACTGGGGAGTGTAAGAAGGGCGTACTAATCCTTAGCCAGATAGTTGCTTATACGATATAGCCTAAAACTGACCGGTGTATGCTAATCTCTAATTTGTTGCACACCGCTCACTGACCCCTGCACCGGCCGTTCGAGGTCGACTTAGAAGCCGACATGACAGGCATCATGACTCAGTTACGCCCGAGAGCACAATTCCTGATATGGAGCTCATCCAGTTGGAATTGTCCTTATACTCCCGGTTCCCGCCCCTCTTTTGACAGCCGACGATGCAGGCCAGCGTGTCAATAGTTCATAGGGCACTCCGCGACAAAGAGACCATCCCCACTTAGATGAGGGGTCGGCGCGGCCTGCGGGTAAGAAAATACACTTAAGTGTGATTGGGCAATTAGGGATGTGATAAACTTGGCACTGATGCTGTACATATACATAGCTATGACTTGATACTACAATTTTGGTGTGAATTGGAGAACTACAGAATAATCTGATGGCGCTGTCTACTCAGATATACTATACAGAACTATTCAGCAAGCCGGGGTATCTTGCCCATGGCAACCTGAGATACTCTCGAGCACCATTACCCACATATGAGCGCATAAAATAAAGCGCAGAGGCGACATAGCCAGCCGAACTAGAGTTTGGCAAAAGCTAACAGCATTTAAATGATAGCATAGCACAGAGCGTATACACACAGCATCAAATACGAGAAGAGCTGCAGGTGACCAAGCCAAAATCAGTGTATGAATCAATCACAAACAAAGGATCATAGCTTGAGGGTGTGAGGAAAGAAGGGGGGTGCGGGAGGGGTGGACGTACAATCGAGCGAAGAATGGATGGGTGAAGCCGCCAGACCCGAGTCTCGTTGGATCTTATCAAGACACTCCACCGCACTCAGTGATGCTCATCACACCATCCCAAGTCAACATCCGAAGCTGTGTATAGTACTACCCCCCGCTAGCTTACAGGAGACTTACGAAGGTGGGGTTGCTATTATGCCATTGTTCTTCAGAAAAGCAATCGACAAAGTCCGTGCGTGGTGTCAGCCCCTCCAGCAATAACCAGGTGCCTTACCATATTCTCCACCGCATTCCAGGTCCACAGTTCGAAGGAATGAGGGCCCGAACCTAAAAGTCTTTCAACCTTGAGATATTGGGTCGAAAATATAATGACTGAAGTGTGCCGTATGATATAGCAGCCGCTAGTAGGTACTTTCCGTTTGTTCGTCTTTACCATCTTTGGTTTTAGGAGGGTATAACCCAGTGGGTAGTAGTAACTAGCGTAAAAAAAAATCCACAATTACTAGATACTTAGTGGGAGGAAGCATCAACATCAAGACGATAGATAAGTGAGGCGTGGTGAGGGGAACCCGGCAAGCAGCACATGCATGATTGGATTATCTGCCCGCCGCCCTGTACGAATCCCTGCTAGAGGGGCGCTTAGACCTAGCAGCCAAGAAGCTACGACAAAGTGGGGAGAAAAGAATAAAAGAATGGCTTATGGGACTCAAAGCTGGATTGCCGGATTGATGGAGACGTTTCTCATTTCCTGACCGGGCCCGTTTGGTGGTAGACTCCGCCTCCCCATTTCCAGCGATGTGCGACAATCTTCCGAGTAGTATGCTTGTGAAATCATGGCTAAATTTTGACACCGGGAGACTGATTTTGAAATCAAGCATTATTACATTCATTCATTGGATAGTTCAATAATTCACAGCTCTTGAACGCCGATCATAGCCATAAAGATTTTAAAGTTCTACAATGCTTCAACTTGAGGCTGGTCCAATTCGGCTCATTATTCCTCTTCCTCCGGATCTTGTTGCTGTCGGTACAGCTCCTTTTGTCTAAAGAATACTGCCAGACTTCCATGTAAATACCATCATTCCCCATTTTGGCGCCATAACACCACGGCATTCACCACGTTGCAGCAAAAGCCCATTTCTAAGTGTACGCGTTCGTTCAATGCATGTCCTGGCAGTCTGGATAGTGATAAGGACTCTCAGAATAGCCTGAAATCCATCGCCCTGACTGATACGATACAGCATCTCGATCACAGTATGAGGTCCTCAAGCCAGACCTTTTTCCTCCATGGCGGCAATCACATAAGATTTTTGTTTGCCAAGGAAAGACTGTAGGACAAGCTTTAGGAATGTGAAACAAAGTGATTGTACGTCCAAAAATTTATTCTATCACTGAAGGACACGGTAGAGAAGGGGCAAGAGGATTCAATCGCATCTGCCCAGCTTTGCAGATCTTACACACATCAATGACGCCTTCAAATCTCACATTCGTATCAGTTTATACTATCCCTTATTGTCCCTGAAACGGAGAAAGAGAATCTGGAAAATAGTCTTAGATCGACTGGAGTTGATCGAAAAAGAACGGAGCGAGGTGACAGGAAAACCAGCTCTGACGATCGTAATAATCAGCGTCGAAGAGTTTACCAAAAAGTTACATCAGCATGAAAGGGTAGAATGGAACGATAGACAAATTTTAAAGGCCTTTGATATTGCGTCTTCACTGGCACGTCATACCAAGTATATAAATAAGCTTAAGCAGGGCGATATAACGCAGGAGCCAGACATCAGTACCGATCACTTTGAGGTAGTGATAGGCGCCGAATGTGGGGGTTGATCATTACATGCGTGGGATGAAAGGCAAGAATGACGATGAGATCGCCTTCTTGGAAGGTGCTGGAGCCGACTTTGTCACCAAGCCTGTACCAGAGCAAAGGACTCGCTCGAACGTCGGCTATCACTGTTAGTGATTCCGATTTCTCATAACTAGTAGCCCAACGTTCTCTTTCTATTTGAAGAACGAAGCCCTTGTCGCCCATTGCCACCTTTTACTAGCTCTGAGATGTGGGGGTTTTCGGGCTGTAATAGAGGGTTTTGGTAAAGGATACACGACCCTTTATACTATCGCGGTTTATGAAAGAAAAGTCAATACAACAGTCGCTTCAGCAGCACTTGTAGTACAGGATTGATTGTATGTTGGCAGAAATCCTAATGTCGCACTCCAATAATACTCCCCGAATTTCAATACGTAGAATGCCCCATATAGACCACCCCCCGGATCAGATAAGACAGGTCAGGTGGACAGCTTGGGGTGGGTGGCGCCCACATGGCTTGAGGCTGCAAACGAACATCCCTTGCGGCGCCAAGACTTCTAAAATCGGATTGGCATTTCGAGATCGGAGGCCGCCAATCAGGTCCGGATTCCGACGGAATATAATTTATCGCCCGTCGCACAGAGTCATAAGATTGGACAAGCCAAACACTATTGACTGAGCTTCCATGTGATTGATGCGGAAGCCAAAGCTACATTTACTGTAATAATGTTAACGTCTGAAGTGAGATTTGGCATGAAAATCCGAAACTCACGGGCGGTTAT